TTAGACTGGAATTAGAGATATCAGTAGGAACTCAAGTTTTAATTGAACTGTAACTACTTACAAAAATGTGCTTGTTTTTAGCAATATACTCTGAAGTATTTAGGAGTAAAAGGGCATCATGTCTACAATTTACTCTGAAATAATTGGGGAAAGAGAGAGAAAAATATTTTATCTTAAGGCAAGTAAGGTGAAAGGCTCCCAATTGGGGAATCTAGGTTAAGGCCATAGAGGGATTCTTTATACTGTTCTTGCCACTGTCCTGTAAGCTTGAAATTATTGAGAAATAAATAATTTTGCCAATTTGGTATGTAAGAAAAAAGTACTAGAGCAACTTTCATTTTACTTTGTTAGTAAAGTTGAACAATTTTATGTTAATGGACCATTCAAATTATGTTTCTTCTCTGCTCATTTTTATGTCCTGGTGTGCACCTTTTTCCTATTGATATGTAAAAGCTATCTTTCAAATCCTTCATCTGCCATGTAGGTTGCATTTCTTTCCTGTTTTCTGGAATTGTCTAATTTTGTTATTATTTTTCTTTTTTTAAACTTTGGACCACTGACACATACATTCATTTCTTTTGCTGTTGTTTTTTGGTGCTGGGGATCGAACCCAGGGCCTTGTGCATGCTAGATAAGTACTCTACCACTGAGCTTTGTCACATCCCTAGCCCAAACCAAATGTGTACACTGATTTCTAAAAATCAGAACCTGTAGTACTCTTGAAGGTTTGCCTAGCCTACGGTTCATTCTGCAACTGCATATCAGTTAACAGTCCAAAAAAAAATCAACCTTACCAATACAAAATGTTTTTCTTTTAAAGAAAAGCTTAAAAAAAATCCAAAATATTAGAGTTTTTTGGTTTTTTTTTAAATATTAGGTACTTTGAGACCATGCAGAAATTTTTGAGCAATTCCAAAATTTTTGTGCAGTCATAAAGCTCATTACCCAGAAATGAATTTAAACAGTTTAAATGTAAAATGAAGAATTCTCATTAATGAATATAAAAAAATTGAATAAAAAATCTAATGAAGCCAGGAATTGTGGCCCATATCTGTGATCCCAGCACATAGGAGGCTGAAGCAGGAGGATCATAAGTTCAAGGTCAGCCTGGTCTACATAGCAAGACTCTGCCTCAAAAAAAAAAAAAAATCTAATGAATACCTTCCATGTTTCAAACATGTGAAAAGAGTCACTACCCTAAGCTCTCACTGTTGAGTAAGGTGACATACAAAATCGGCTATAATCATTGTGATAAGGACAATTATAGCAGTATGTACAGAGCAATGAGCAGGAAGAAGAGTTTTGTCTTTGTCTTGAGGGGGTGAAGTTAGGGAGAACTTATAGCAGAAGTGATAACTGAGCTAAAGAATCTCTCAGGTTGTCAGAAGGTAGCTAGTCAGTCAAAAAGCACATTATCCAAAGGAATTCATTTGGTCCCTGAAACCCTATAAAGTCTGTGCTATTATTATTTCATTTTACAAAGTAGGGAAAAGACAATTTAGAGGTTAAGTAATTGGCACAGGTCACATGGTAATAAGGAGAGGTTCAAGAGTTCAAGTTATCTCTACCCCAGTGCTGCTGGGCGGTTGGGAGATGGCCCTTCATTTGGACAAAAGTCATGTGTAAGAAACCTGCTACTTCTCCAGCACTTTAGGAAGGATGCATCAGTGTTCTCAACACGAAACTCTGAGAACAGTTATGCCACTAAGCATTTTATTAAAGAATGGGTTCAGGTTCTGGTGGTATGAGTACGATGATCAAAGAAAAAAAAAAACTTTGAAACGTCAAACATCCAGGAGGGAGAACAAATAGAGACTGAGGTGATTGTTGGAGGTGAAAAGATTGTCTTCTAAGGAGAGTCAACTAGTGGGTAAGAGTACAGGAGGCAGCAATAAGGCAGATGCTGTAGTCATCCAAACACCGAGTGTGCATCCTTTCTGAAGCCTGGGAAGGAGAATTACCATGAGGAAAATCTAGAGTATGGCAAATTGTCCTGAGCTCAAGAGTAAAGGTTGCTTTATAGTGATGGCTAGGAAATGAAAACAGGAGTGTTTTTGAGGGAGGCTTGGGGGGGGGAAGAATGGGGTCCAGGGAAGAAAGCTGGGTGTTCCTTCCATAAGTTGAGACCTTGGAAGAAAACCGGTGGGAAAAGGTGGGTTTGGGGAAACAGGTTTATAATAGATAGCGCTTCCCCAGGGCTCCTTTGTAGGAAGTTGCTAGGACAAATGGGGTGGCGCATGGAGTGAATCTGGGGGACAATGAACCCGGTTGGGTAGGAAGAGGGTTATGGAAGTGTGGGGTTGGACAGAAGGAAGGGGAGGGAGATGTGTGGAGTTGGAGAGGAAGAAGGGCAGGGAGGTATGTGGGGGCTGGACAAGAGGAAGTGTAGGGAGGTGTGGGGTTGATGGAAGCAAATGGAGGTGGGGGGTGGGTTTGTTCAGAGGCCGCCTAAAGCTCAGCAACCTCAAAGGCAGGGAGGATTTGCAATGGGGAGTACTCAGTGGCATTACCTGGCCTGACCATCCACGTGTCTGATGCATGAGGGATGCTAGGGGCGCAGTACAGGTGTGGAGGAGCGGGGGCGGGGGGGGGGGATTCTGTGCTTTCCTCAACCTCTAAGGGCCGAAAGCGTTCTTTGGGTGGGGGTTATCTTCAGCGAGAACTGTGAGGCCGGGAAGTGGGAGGCCTGCCCTAGGCCATAGAGCTAGCTCAGCCCCAACGCAGGTGCAATCGCCTAAACAAATGAAGAGGGGAAGTCCGGCCGCTAACGGCGCCCGGCAGCTTGCGCGAGGCCTGCGTCAGCACGCGGCCACGGCTGACTTATTTCGGACTGGGTGGTTAAATTACTCACGCCGAGGGCGCCTCTCAAACCCACAGTCCACTGGGCAACCACCAACCGGCAGTCCCGGCGGGCCCAGGGGAACCGCGGCCTCTATCGTAGGGCGTCTGGTCCCAGCTGTCCAGTGACCCGGCACGACCCGCGGGGACCGGACTGGGGCGCCCCCGCCAGGACGCTGATTTCGGAACCTTGTCGCCCTCTGGCAACCATCGGCTCAAACAGTAAAACTCGAGTACTCCGCCCTCCCTGGGGCGCGGCGAGGGGGAGTGACGTGTGCTGGGGGCGTGGCCCCGAAAGGGGCGGGGCGAAAATCAGCGGGCGGGGAGGTACTGGGCCAATGGGCAGGGCCAGTGGGCGGGGAGGCGCTGGGCCAATGGGCGGGGTCAGCGGGGCGCACGCGCGCATCGGCGCCGCGAGCGGTGGGAGGGCGGTGTCGAGGCCTGGCTCGGGGGGCCGGAGGTGCGGTGAACTGTCAGGGCCGGGCTGGGGCCGCCGGGGCAGGGCAGCCGGGTTGGAGAGGAAGGGGGAGGTCGCGGCGGGCAGGGAGGGATGCTGATGTGGGAAGGATGGCCGCGGCGGAAGCTGCGAGGATCGCGGGGGCGGGGTGTCCCCGGGGAGTGATTCCGGGCTTTTCAGTGGGAAACCGACAGTCCCCGGGGGAGGCCGCACTCCACACCCTGGCCGGGACCGGAGCCGGCCTGCACCCGGCCGAGCCCCAAGTGCGAGTTGCTGGGGGCAACCAGCTAGGATGAGCAGTCCCAGTTTGCCTGCGTGTTCTGGTTTTAGGACGCAAGCATCCCAGGCCGCCTTCCCACTGCGGTGACCCCATTCCCCTCTTCCTTGGCATCTCCACCCACATTAGACCTGGAAATGCATGCCTCCTGACCTTTCACACCGCCTTTTTAAAAAATCAGGGTGAAGGCACCCTCCACAAAACCTTTGCAGACATGCCGGTCCTTGTAGGGTAAAGACTTCAATGGGAGCCTTTATGAAGGTAGGTAGACTACAGCGGGCTATGTTTGTTTTATAGTTTATCCTGTAGAAGTCAGATTTCAGCCCAGGTGTGTAGTTGCAAGGATGAGCCTATGCTCATATAAGAACTTTGACTATAGACACCTTAGATCTGGAATTTCTGCCACCCTTTTGAACTCTAGAATTCAGAGGTTCAATGAGAATAGATATTAGCTTAGCTTTTCCCATCAATTGTCTGATATTGAACTGAAATAATTAGATAACATGTTTAGATAATAAATTAGAAAATATGTCTAAGGTCTAGACAGAGTCGTTCAATTTTTTCCTTTTCTAACTCAAGAAGCCTCGTGGTAGAACATCTACTTGACCCATTCAAAGGATGGAGGCTGTCCATAGGAACATGAAGTAAATGGAAGAGAACTGTCATTGTGAGTCTGGCTTTTGATTAGTCATCTGTCTTCCTCAGTGTGACATGACTCTGAGATAATAAACTTCAGTGGCTGAAATATAGCTTGTCTGCCTGCAGTTGAAATTACAGAAATGGGCACTTACATGACTTCTCTTTTCGCTTGACATTGAGTATCCTTGAGTCACACTAGAGAGGATGAGTTATTTTTCATGTGGCCCTAGTGAGTCACTTCATAATACTGGGATTATTACCCAAATGACAAGGAAATTGGGTATCAGTACCATGTTCTTATGGTCACCACTAGGTTTTTTGCTTGGGTATTTTTGTTTTGTTGTGAGACAGGGTCTCACTATGTAATCCAAGCTGTCCTTGAACTCATGATACTATCTCAGTCTTTTGAGTGCTGACATTACAGGCATGAACCTCCATCCTGGTTTTTCACTAGTTTTTATAATGGGAGCAGGTTCTGAATGAGAGGGAGGGATGACTTTAATGGTTTTCTTTTCAATTCCAGTCAATTTCCCCAAGAAGTTGATTAGAAGTAGGGAAACCACTGTAAATGTGCCCATTCTAAGACATTTTAGACATCATTCATTCCATTCTAGGAAGGAATTAGAGATGTATCTGGATGATATGCATGTTATATCTGACTACATTTTTTTTGATAGATGCAAATAGTACGGCACTCTGAACAGACACTAAAAACTGCTCTCATCTCCAAGAACCCAGGGCTTGTGTCACAGTATGAGAAATTAGATCCTGGGGAACAGCGCTTAATGAATGAAGCGTTCCATCCAGCCAGTAATCTCTTTAGACCTATTACTGTGCATTCACAGTCAGACTGGATCACCTCCCACCCCGAGGCTCCCCAAGACTTTGAACAGTTTTTCAATGATGCCTGCAGAAAGATACCATCTCCAGAGAAGCAAACGATTTATATGCAGTCCATTGGTATGTTTTGGTAGTTTGATAGCTCTGGTTTGGTTTTGCAGTGGTACTGTTGTCAGGGATGGTTTGGGATCATTCAGATGGACAATTTTTTTTGAGACAGAGTCTTGCTATATATAGCGAGCCCAGGCTGATCTCAACTCGATCTGTAACCCAGACTGACTTCAAACTCATGATCCCTCTAGCTCAGCCTCCCAAGTGCTGGGATGACAGTCATGTGCCATCACACCTGACTTAAGTGGGCAGTTTTTATAATCATTTTTTTAAGTGCTGGGAATCAAACCCAAGGCCTGTACATACTAGGCAAGAACTCTACTATTAACGATCATTTTTATTAGCATGTAATTGTACAAAGTGAGGGTTTCATTATGATATTTCCATACATTATGATCTTTGATGTTCATTGCAATGGCAGAACTTTCATAGCCAAACTGACATTAAAATGAGCATTTGATGTCTTTTTAATTCAAGTACCATTAGTGACTGATTAAGGTGTACTGAGAATTTAAGAGTTGGCTTTGTTTCTAATTCTAAATTTCTAATTTGTAGACCTCATGAGGTGAAGACTGAATATCTTCTTCATCTTAAAGTCTGTCTTTAAACTTTCTCCCCTATTACAGGATCTCTAGGGAACACCAGAGTTGTCAGTGAGGAATATATTAAGTGGCTTAAGGGCTACTGCGAAGCATTTTTCTATGGCTTGACAGTAAAACTCCTTGAACCAGTTTCTGTTTCTGCAACGAGGTGTTCCTTTAGAGTCAATGACCACACGCAGAACCTACAAATTCATGCAGGTGAACGAAGCAACTTTATAATTTGAATTTAGTAAAGGAAGTGTATGTATAATATATACAAACATATGCATTTCTTTCTAACTAGGGCATATCCTGAAGTTCTTAAAAAAGAAGAAACCCGAAGATGCCTTCTGTGTTGTGGGGGTAACAATGATTGATCTTTACCCAAGAGACTCCTGGAATTTCGTCTTTGGACAGGCCTCTTTGACAGATGGTACTCCTTTTTGACATTGTTGGTAGAAACTTCCTCAAGTTGAGAATATTTGAAGATACTAAAAGGGGGAAAATTCCAGCCAGTAACAGTTTTGATATTTAAAATGTGTAGTATTTGCAGCGAGGTGTCATTATGCCACAGAGAGAAGTGGGCTCTTCATAGATGATGATCTGAGTTTCTCCCTACATGACCTTGAGGTTATGATACCTATTTCAGTCATTTGGAGATAATTTACATAATAATGGTGTATCCATAAAAAGTGCATGAAATGTCTGGTACATATATAGGCATTCAGCACAACAGCTGATAAAAGTAAGTAACTGTAGCAGGGTGAAATTAAGGATATTTGAGCTGTCATTAACATATGTGAAAATCTTGTGATGGTTTTTCACCTCTTGCCTTTTCATCTGGCCTTGCATTGATGGAATAGCCTTAGACTACTGTACACTATATCAGTGTATGCTTCTTTCTCAACTTGTGTTATGACTTTAAGCATAAAACTTTCATTTGAGACATAATAAATTTCCAATCACTGGGAACTCTGCATGGCAATATTGGGGGTGAGAAGGGGTCTGGAGACAAGTCATAGTTTTACCAATTTTTCCTTTTGTCATCTTTCCACTTCTTTTTTCCCCACCCCTTTCATTTTTGCTGTTCTTTTTTCTAACTTCATTCTCAGAACTCAGGGGAGTGGTTATTAGCATTTCGGGATTGGGGAGTAAATACCTGGGACTATACTGAGAGTCTGTGGTCTGTTTGGATATTACATGAGGCTCTGTTAGAGATGGGGGCTCCTTCATCCTCAATTCTCCATTCACACGAGGAGCTTATAGCTTCCCCTCCCCCTCCCCCATGACCCTACCAACATGCTGTGCTAGAGACTTGGGTCAATGCTGTCTTGTTGACTTTTGTGATTGTGACCTAGCTCTTATCACAACTTCCTCCTTGTGTTGTTAACCTGGTAGAGATGGAAACATTACAAATAACTTAAGAGCACTTTGTTCATTGACCTAGATAATGCTAGCTAACTTATCTTGTGCATTTGAGGAAGCCAGGAAACACTCTCCCCAACAGTTCCTATTTTAATCTTTCAATCCTTTTTTAGGGAGGAGGATAAGTTTTCAAAATTCTACATGTCTTCAGATAAGATGTATTAAGGTATCAGTGTTGATCTGCTATGCAGTGAGACAGTATTGTACAACAAATGACCTTTAAAGATTGGTACTTTTATATTGAGAACCACTTATCACTAAAGAAAGTGATGTTCTGTTTGTAGAAAATGGAAAGAAATGTGAAGTAGCTCACAGTTGTTTGGTTAGAGCAGGTCACTTGTGATGCATGATTACATTTAGGGTTTTTTTTTTTTCTTAACTTCCATAATATTGTCTTTCCCTAAATCTCAAATATCAGCTAGCACTTTCTGAGGACGAAGTGAGGAACATTCTTTTCTGAGTCAAATTGGTTTGGATAAACTTACTGAGTTTACTTCCTTACAAATAAAAAAATGTCAGGGGCCAGGAGTATTGGTCAGTGGTAGAGCACTTGCTCAGCATGGGCAGGGTTCTGGGTTCAATCCCCAATACTGGAAAAAAACATACTATTGTTTTATGAAGTATCAACTGAAAGAGAGGCATAAACAAAAGTGATAATGTAAGCAAGTCCAGGCAGCTCCCCGCCTTGCCCACCGCCCACAGTGTGTTATGTATCAAACTATGTTCTCTGTGCATGCAGATATGGTAGATATAACTGTAAATGTCACACAGGAAGTCAGTTACCAGGGTGTTTACTCTGGTCACCCGGCACAGCCTCATAATAGAGTTGTGCTGTACTTTAAAAGAGTTGGGGAGGGAAGAGGTTATTGTCTAAAGTCATTCAAAACATAATTCTGAGATATTGGGGGCAGTGGGCGGAATGTGAAGGAAGCCAGCAGCCCTTACTGACATGTGTGAAGCAGAGATGTATTTGTTGGGTTCCTACAGGCCAAACTCATGACTGCTTGTTGCTCATGCTGTTTTTCATGGCTCCTTTTGGAGTATTTGAACTATTTTTTGAGAAAGGCTTTTTTATGAGGAGATACCCTCTGAAATTTCTAATTTCTCTAGAATTTGACCAGAAGTCCTGTGAGCTTTACCAAGCAGAGCAAACTGGTTATCAGGTGAAGATTTTGAGAGAGAAATCTGGGCAAAATTTCTTTTCTTTTTTTTTAGTTTCATCACCTTTTATTTTCCCTACTCAGTTCCCACCAAAATTTCTTTATGTTGGCAAACTTTAAGTGTATTAGATGGTGTGAACACAGGAATACATATGTGCACTGACTGACAGATGTTTCCTGCAGGAATCTACCCTCAACCTGTGGTTGCTTGCTCTCTTTTGTAGGCGTGGGCATATTCAGCTTCGCACGGTATGGCCAGGATTTCTATAGCTCACACTATGAGGGCAAGGTGAAGAAGCCTCGCAGAACATCTTCTAGTGACTATTCCATTTTTGATAACTATTATGTCCCTGAAATCACTAGCATTTTGCTTCTGCGATCCTGTAAGGCAAGTTGTTTAAAAATGCTATGGGAGGATGGGGGGGTATGACTCAGTGGGTAGAACACCTGCCTAGCAAGGAGGCCCTGAGTTCAAACCCTAGTGTTACTAAAAATAAAGAACAAAAAAAAGTCAAACTTTGGCTAGGGACATTGTTCAAGTGGTAGGACACCTGCCTAGCAATAGCAAGCCTGAGGCCCTGAGTTTAAACTCCAGTATAGCAATAAATAAATAAGCATCCTACAGTAGCATTGAGAGAGAGAGAAGAGAGATCTTAATTGCCTAAATCATATATCATCAGTCTTTAAGGTAATAATCAGTTTATATCATTTGTATACTTTTGATAGATAATGCTTGACTGAAATAATCAATAAAAACATAATTTAACTGGATGTCTTAATATTGAAATTTGTAACACTGGTGCCAGGTTTGGGTCCTGCTGGTACATGCAGACTTTGGCAGTGAGAACTTCTACTATACTTCCTGACCCCTCCCCCGTTGCTTCTTGGAAAGCCTGTTTCCCTTTTAGTCCATAGTGAGAGACATAGGCTTTTCCTTCAGCTAGAGAAGTTCTGCTTCTCCTCAGGACTATTTGCTGGGGTTTGAGAAATACTTAGAACTATGTGTTCAAAGTTGGTTCCAAGGACCATGGATCTGATCTGTAACAAGTAGCTCACTGGTCTAGAGTAAGGGTGCCAGCCATAGGACATCTGTCAATGTCTGGAGACATTTTCAGTGGTCACAGTTGAAGAGGATTCTACTGCCATGTCATGGGTAGAGACCAGGATGCTCCAAAACATCCTACAATGCCCATGGCAGCTCCCACAACATGAAATTAACCATACAACATGTCAGCAGCAGCAGAGGAGAAGCCCTGGTCCAGGGGAGGTAATTAAGGATAGTAAGGAAGGCATTGGGACTTTTAGAGTGATGAGGGATACCAAATCTTAAAGATCTGGGCAGAGTGAAGTTTGGTGAGAATGGCTTCTTGGAAAAGCAAGGAAAAGAAGTGATGTAGAACTTGTTGATGATGGCGGTGCTACAATGCCACAATATTAATGTCTTACAGACTCTAACTCATGAACTTGGACACATATTTGGACTGAGACACTGCCAGTGGCTCGCATGCCTAATGCAAGGCTCCAACCATTTGGAAGAAGCAGACCGGCGCCCTCTGAACCTTTGCCCTATCTGTTTACGAAAGTTGCAGTCTGCTGTTGGCTTCAACATTGTAGAGAGATACCAAGTAAATGTGGTTGGGGGCAGGGAGGCAAAGAGGAGGGAAGTGGTTATCTGAGTAGCAAACTGACATTTTCTATTAGGTCCTTTAGAGCTATAAATTATCAGAGGAAATTAGTATAAAGACAAGCAGAAAGCTGTGGTTTAAAAAAATGCAAAGAAATGCCCCTCTTAAAAACTTCAACTTGACTGTGACTGTCTTTTAGGTAGCATTCAATGAAAAGTGATGAAGGAAGTTTGTCTACTCATACATTTAGAGCAAGAGAGCTTGACTTTGTAGAACAAAATGCATATTGATGTGTGGCAAAGTTCATTTTTATAAACCATATAAATGTGTGGACATGATTTATCTTTCCAAATGTGTGGCAGAGCTGTGATGGCCATTAGGAGGAAAGAGTGGTTTTTCTTTAAGAAGGAAGAGGGAAAGTACCCAAACCTGAGTGTGTGCACCCACACACACCAGCATACATTCATGTGGTTACTTGTGGGTTTGATTGCTCACTCAGGGGGCTGCTTAAATGTCTACATCTGTCTTTATAGACATGTCTCCTTATGCCTTTGTGTACACTTACATGCATACACACATGTGTATTAAATTAAAAGCACAGCATAATGCCTTAGGGAATATTTCGCAAGTTGAGAAAAGAAAATTATTATCCTTCCATCCTAAGATAAATAGTATAAACATTAGTATATTTAGTTTTCATCTTTTTTCTTTTGCATACTTTTGACCATAATTTGCAATTATATATATTTTTGGTCTGTGCTATTTCACTTACTATGTCATAAATGTTATTTTGTGTATCATCTTTATCAAATGTGCCAGTGTTCTTCTCTTGCCTAAGACCGTTTTGCTGTGATTTGCTAAAATATGGATGCTTTTTGTTTTTCAAGGCACTGGTGAGGTGGATGGATGACACATCTACTGACACAAGAGTAACTCCGAAACACAGTCGTGAGAAGAGTGTGAGTTTGCAGAAACCTGTGGAAGCCTTTAAGGAATGTAAAGAGTGGATAATAAAATGCTTTGCTGTTCTCCAAAAATAAGGACCTTCAGATAGGAGCAATTACAAGAAATGCTGTACATTGCACTTTCTTTTGAATGGAGTACTTCAGTGGAGTAAACTGTTTACTGATCTGTGCAGGGTCAGAGTAACAGAATAGAACCTTCTTTGAAGCACCTGGACTGAAATGAAGCTCCTTGTGAATAATAAAAACGCCACAAACTCTTTCTCGTCTGTCTTACCAGCCTGGTAAGCACACTGGGGCAGTGAGCACATCATTTCCATTCTTCAAATATGTTTATGTCTTACAAGAGAGCTAGGGTTAGCAGTAGCTAGTAAGTAAATAAATGCTTTAAATTTAAATTTTATGTATTGTAATTAAAGCTTTATAGTTTAAAAATTAATTTTCATGGGGTGAGGATATGGTTCGAGTAAAGTACCTGACTAGCAAGTGCAAGGCCCTGAGTTCAAACCCCAGTACTGCCAAAAAAAAAGAAAAATGAAATAATTTTCACTAACCAGAAATCAAAGCAGATTTTGCTTCACAAATGCTGTCTGGACAAGATTTTGAGCTAGTAAAGAATAATTTTCCACTGCCTAAATACTCTAAGAAATAAGTTAATTTTAGGACTGGTGGAGTGGCTTAAGTGGTAAGAGTGCCTGCTAGTAAGCGGGAGGCCCTGAGTTCAAACCCTAGTGCTGCAAAAAAAAATTTTTTAATGCTGTTCCTTTGTGCCACAGTATCTCTCCAGTCAAAGGATTAAATGTTGGCATTTCAGTCCACAAAACGTTTTATTAGGATTTTGTTCAACTTGATTGTTTCATTTTTTTTCTTTTCTTTTGGTGGTACTGGAGTTTGAACTCAGGACCTCACACTTGCTAGACAGGTACTCTGCCACGTAAGCCATGCCCTCAGCCTTGTTTTGTGATGGGTATTTTGAGATAGGAGCTCGAACTATTTGCCCCAGCTGGCTTCCATCCACAAACTTCCTGATCGCTGCCTTCTGAGGAGCTAGGCTTGCAGGCTGGAGACAGCCTCGAACTCATGATCCAACTATCTGGGCCTCCCCGAGCGTTGAGATCACAGGCTCGGTCCCCGGCCTGCTTTTGGAAGCAAAAATTTCCGTGATGTGGGTACCTTTAAATTTCAAGCTTTGCAGGGGCCAGGTCGTCGCTCCCGCCTCCCTCCCGGGAGCCCAATGCTGAACTCTTAGCGGGCTGCAGTCGCTGCCCCTGCCCTTGCCCTGTCCTCCCCGCCTCGCGAGCAGGAAGCCGCGCCGGCCCGGAGACGCGGGACGCAGCTGCCCCCGGCCGGCGCCGCGCCACCTGTTTCCGCCGCAGGGACGTCCCCTGGCGGGCTCAGAAGTGTGGAGTCGGCTTCTCGGCCTCGGAGGACCCGGGTAACCTCCCCGCCAGCCTCCGAGCAGGGGAGCCCCGCCACACCCACGTGTGCCGCCCTGCGCCCGGCCTTGGAAAATCAGCATGGCGATGGCTCCGAGCAGTGAGTGCATACGGTTCTGGGTAGAGCGTCTACAAAGTGCTTCATCTGAAAGTTGGACTCTTAGTCGCCTGTAGATTCTGAGATGTGGAGCAGCACGGTCCTTCAGAAACACACTACCCCTGTGTAAGTTTAACTTCTGGTGTGTGTTTCACGCTCAGCACTTTCCCACGCGGCTGTGCCTACTTACTGAATGGCAGTGCAGCGCTGGGTTAGTACCAGGCCCTCGCCCGCCTGGGGAGATGAACCCTGGCATCGAGTCAATGGGGGAGAAAGGCTTAATAGGGAAAAGCTCACGCAGGTCTCCTGGCAGCCAGGGAGTGTTGACACACAAGCTGAAAGGATCTGGTTTAGTGTCCCTGGGTGTTTGATCTTTCTCTTACTTTCTGTTGCAGATTTTTTTTTACGCTCCCCTCTCATGGCCGAGGGCCTGGCAATTCCTTTATCTGCGTTTCCAGTTTGGAAAGCGTTGTAAAGTGTTTATAAGGTGGAGGTTCTCTCGTTCATCCTGCGGTCGCGCAAAGTCCGCGGTGGCTAAGAAAAGGTGTGGAATTAAACCAGCTGCAAAAATAGGGCCCCATCTCCAGTGTCCCTAATTTCCAGTCCTACAGTTTTCACTGTGCTACATAACTTCGTGGAAGTAAAATGCAGACATCCAGAAAGCCAACCAATTCTTTTTTTTCCCTCCAGATTGTTTATAAAAGGCCTTATAAGATTAAGCTTTCTTTCAGCTTCTCTAATCAAGTGGGGCCATCTGGAGTTGCTCAAAGTCAGAGAAAAGAGTCTATGTCCTTCTGCCCCAGTACCAAAAAGAACAGAGGTGCAATGTGTAAAAAAGCACTTGTTATCAGTTGAGCACTTAAAAAAAAGTATCACAAACTCAAGATGTAGCTCAGTGGTAGAGCACTTGACTAGTATTCATGGCCTTGGGTTCAATCCCTAAAAATGAAAGAAAGAAAGAAAAATAAAAAGTCAATTGCATATTTCAAAGTAGGTGGTGGAGAGGATTTTGAATGTTCTCAACACAAAGAAATGAGAAATATCTGGGGAGAAAAATGTGCCAGTTACCTTGTTCTAATCTCACATATTTTATACATGTATTGAGATGTCATACTGTACCCGTAAATATGTATAATTACCATGTGTCAACAAGAAATTTAAAATATATTAAAAAAAAAACCTACTGGGATCCAGGAGAGGTGGCATACACCTGTGATCCTAGCACTTGGATAGTTGAGGCAGGAGGATTGTGAATTGTCTTAAAAAACAAAACACTGGAAAACAGGCTAAATTAACCCCAAACTGGAATAGGCAATATGTTAAAACCCACAGTCCTGGTTGGGCACCCGTGGCTCACGCCTGTAATCCTAGCTACTAAGGAGGCAGAGATCAGGAGTACCTTGGTTTGAAGCCAGCCTGTGCAGGTAGTTTGCCAGACTCTACCTCAAAAAAATCCATCACAGAAAGGGCTGGTGGCGTGGCTCATGGCGTAGGCCCTGAGTTCAAACCCCAGTACTGAAAAATAAAGCAAAACAAAAATCTCACTGTCCTCCATCTGTATACCTATGCTAGTATTTATTTCTTCCCTCTCTTTTGTTTAGTCTCTGCTCATGGATCAGCATTTCTTCCTTACAGCTGACATGCCCACATGGGACACTGCTGCTGAGCACTTTTTTCCTCGCTCTCTCTTTTTATTTGTATACATTAATAGTACAAGGGGGTTTCATTGTGATAGTTCCATATCTGTGTGTAGTGTACTTGGAACAAGTTCACCTTCCCTATTATACTCCCTTAGCTCCTCTCCCTCTCCCCACCCCCATTTTGAAATGGTATTTGGTGGGTTTCACTATGCTATCTTTATACACACACACACACACACACACACACACATATATATATATATATATATATATGATAGAAGTATGCTACATATGTTATAACATATATAATATATATTGTAATAAATATATATAAAGATATTTTATATATGCATATATAGATATATGTAACCTACTTCTATCATCTTCACTGCTGGACACCTTGGGACCCATCCTCAGTTCTTGGAATAACAGGTTCCAAGCACAGTGCTTTCAGGGTCCTGTGGTCATCCAACTACTTTATAGTAGCACCAGGCTCTCTTGAGCTAGAGTTGTAAGTAGATACCATTTTTCTCATAATTAAAGGGAGGGAAGGTCAATGAAGAAGTATGAGCTCATTAATTCATGCACAATTTGTTCAATAGTAAATGGAGTGCCACCCGCTATGTGCTAGGTCTTGCTCAGAGCCTTGGGGGATATTAGCTGAACAAAAATCTGCTACCCTAATAGCAGGGAGTAAGCAAATACTTCATAACATAATAGCAGAGTAAAGGATTGGAAACAAATACAATTTTGGATAGGACCGTCAGGAATTAGAGATAGTGATTGCTCTACAAAGTGCTCCCTGCCCTGATGTTGTGCCTCACTACAAGCCCAAAGTCACAGAACCAGATGACCAGGGACTGCAACCTCTGAAACTATTGAGCCAAAATAAACCTTTCCTCCCTTTGTTTATCTCGCAGGTAGGTGACATTTAGAGGTGACCAAATTAAAAGGTCATACCACACACTGTACATACTGTACCCTGTATGTACCCTGTGCTGTATGTACACGGTACATACATGTACCCTTCTAAGGGAAGGGTATAACAGGCACAGAGAATGCCAAGTGTTGAAACCTGAGGCTTAGAACAATAAGAACAATTCCCAGCAACAGTAAGAAAGCCAGTGAGACCAGCACAGCAGAGCAAGGGGAGAGTAATAGCATCAGGTGGGCTACCCAGGGTTCATCTTCAAGGATTTGTCTGATTTGTGCTTTAAAAGAATGACCATGGCCGCTTTGAGGGAAATTAAGGAGCGGTGGTGCGTAGCAGGAGTGGAAGCAGTTGTAGTAATCCAGTTATGATCATATTGGCTTGGGTGGAGTCGGCTTAAGACTCAGGTCCTGGATATATTTAGAAAGAGCTGATGGGATTTGTGGAGGTGGCGGTTGGAGGATGATGATCCAGAGTTCTCCTGAGGACACTGGTTGATCTCCACCTGCCACCTTGTAGATACTTATAGGGCTGGAACTTCTAGGCAAAGATGGGACTAAGAATGGGAGGAGTCAGGGTAGAAGAGGTATTTGAAGTTGAACTCTAGGGCAGCAAATTGCTAGGGCAGAAGGCAAGTTTAGCACACTTGCTTTCTTGACATGGCCAAAATTTATATTTCCTCTCAGTTTTATGCTCAATTGCTGAAGTGTTCTGGAGCACGGGGCTTGCTATCCAATTTCCTCTCTAGAAAATCTACAGTCACCGAGGTAATTTTGATGGGGTGTGAGTTTTTGCATGAAAAGCCAACTTGTAAGTTCTCTTGTCATTTTTCTTGTTCTGTGTCTTTAGAGTCATTGTAAAAAGCGAACACCAGGGGGACCTAGTTTCCTTCCTTATTTGGTGGTGCATGGCCCACCTGTTGGATCTAGTGCCCTTTGCTTAGGACATGAATCTATCTTAAAGACAAACCACAGACTCTCCCTTTTCTCAGTTCAGTGCACACTTGTGGGAGTGGTCCTTTAGCCTGCAATATGTCTGAATTGTCTTTAAATTGGCTGTTTTAAGGAATGTGTATAAGCAGAAGGTTTTAAACACCAGCTCTCTCTTAGTGAACTCCATATGTGGGAGCTTTGAAAAATAAGGAGGATGGTGATTGTGGTTTAGAATATTTGGAGTATGGAAATCTAAATATAATATCACTTAGATTTGGACCAGCTATAGCCAGACTTGCATTTTCTGCTTTATCTTCAGATGGTGAGCTAAAAGAGACAAACAAGTGTACAAAAGTTACATCACACATTATTGGAGTGTAAAATTAACAACTTTGTTAAAAGACCCAGAAACTTTGTATCAGTTAAGAATACATTTGTAGTTAAGAGGGCACATGATCTGAAATCATGAGTTTTATAACTGGAATTATTTTATATTTAGGGAGGGAAACAGTCTCTCTATATATTGAAACATTATTGAGTCAACAAACTTAAAGCAGAATCTCATCACAGAAAACAAAAACTGATAATTAGTTAATACATGTATTATCAGCTGTCTGATCTTTCCTGTCTTTGGCACCTATGACCTAAGAATTATTTTGACCAAAATGAACCTTTAAAAAAATAATTTGGGGGTATTTTTGCTTGATTGTCTTGATTTATTTTTGTTTACTTGAGTCAGGGTCTTGCTAGGTATCCCAGACTGGCCTCGAACTCCCAGTCTTTCCACCTCAGCCTTCCAAGTGCTGGATTACAGGTGTAATCCAGACACAATGTGCCGGACACAATGACCCTTTTCTATTAGTCAGGATTGTTAGTTTTTTGGAGCTGTGATACTGACCTATTCTAATATCACAGATAGATGGAGCAGAGGCAAGAAACTATGGTCTACAGGTCAAATCTAGTTCACTATCTTACTTCTTTCTTATTTGTGGGGCTGAGGATTGAACCTAAGGCCTCACGCACACTGGGATATACCATAAGCTACATCCCCAGACCTATTTTTTTTTAATAGCCTGGGAGCTGATGATGGCTTTAACATTCTCATGTGATTTTAAAAAAGAGAGTATTTCACATGTGAACATTTTTATGAAATTAAAACTTCAGCATCCTTAATAAAAGTTTATAGAAAAATGGCCATGCACATTCATTTATATATTGTCTGTGGCTGCTCCTGACCTACAAAGGACTGGGTTGAATAGTTTCTGCAGAGACCTTATGACTTGCAAGGCCTTAAGTATTTACTATCTTGATATTTGTAGAAAGAGCTTGCCAACTCCTGCCATGGAGAGTCTGTGCCGTTTACTTAGAAAAGTCCTTAGGACTGTTCTATAGTTGCTGGATCCTGATTCCCACTTCAAGTGCATGCTCCCAGTGACCTAGCTTCCTTTCACTAGGTCCCACTTGGAAAGGCTCTATACCCCCCATTAAAGCCAGAGGTTGGTGACCTGGCCTTTGAGGTACATTTATGATCCAAACTGTAGCATAGCGTATCTGCTTGCCCGTATCGCTTTTTTTGGTGGCACTGGGTGTTCAAGTCTTGCATTTGCTAGGCAGGTGCTCTTATCAGTGGAACCATGCCTTCAGCCCATCCCTCATTGCTTTACATAGACTTATCTGCACCTACCATGGTATCATTTCATTCATGTATTTTTCATTTGGAAATAATGAAGTTCAATCATCAATTTCGTTCTTATTTCAGTTCTTAGCTGAAAATATGCTTTTTTTATTTGACTATACTGTTTATTATTTCTCCCTCCTGTTATCCATTATTTAATAAATAACTTCCCTTGAATTATTTAGCTATTGTCTAAGGTGCTTAAAAATCATTTTTGTAGAAAAGATTCAATATAAAATAAAATTGTCAGTTGAGCACAGTGGTACACAGCTGTAATCCCAATACTCAGGATGCTGAGGCAGGAGGTTCATGAGTTTGGGGCTACATAGTGAGACCCTGTCTCAAAAGCAAATGAATGAATAAAATAAAATTGTCGTGTGACAATGAAAGGAAAAAAAAGTTCCATAGACACTCCTTGAGATCCTTTATATATCCTAGGAGAGCTAAGATTTTATAGAAACGTTAAATTATTTATTTGAAACAAATCTCCTTGTGTATTTAAAGCTTGAATTGGATTGAACACTGAATAACATACATCAACTAAGGAGAAACCTTACCACAAAAGAAAAATCAATCTCTTTAAATAAGAAGCCATAAATTTATTGCAAATCTAGAAGTACCAGAATGTCACTAATACAGAACAAATCTTGTTTACATTTTCTTCCAAACATATAAACCCTTGGTTTGTTGACCTACTGAAATTGGCATTTTTTTTTCTCCTCATGCAGTTAACAGAATGGCCATAGAACAGATCTTTCAGAAGTCAGTTATAAATATTAAATTTTCATCTCCAACATTCATAGTACAAAATACATGGTAAAGTGAATCAGGTTAAGTCTGCACAACTGCCACAAGCTCCAAGCTTGTTTCAGGCGGTGACAGATTTGCTCCATCTACCTGGGTTTAGGTGTATCTTGTTTTTGACAGGTACCTTGTCATTTCCCCCCTCGCCCTCCCCAAAGTTTTATAGATTGTCCTGTTTCTATGGCTGATAAGATACTCTCCAAAATGCAGCGGGCGGTGTTGAACTATGCCACTTTCATTTCAGTGCAGAGAAATATTCAAGCTTGTGTGTACCTGTAACCAAACTAGGCTTGTATTTTCCCCCTGAGTTGTTATAAATTAACAGTAAAGATGAGTAACGATGGAGCAGCAAGCACTGGCCATCACCTGGAGGGTGGGATTCAGTAAAATAAGTGAGAAATAGTCCCCCTCTTATCCTCACACTTGCTCCCTTTACAGAAAATTGCTGGAATGAGAACTACTATACACATAGTAAAACTCCAAAGCAACAACGACTGGTTACCTGATACAGCAACTTAGGACAATCAAGTCAAGCTCTATGTCAGATATTGTACGAAACTTGTAATTGCGGTAACATAAATGTCTCTGCTACTTCCAAATAAAATACAGAAATGCTTCAACAATTCAGTAAAATATAATTCTGACCAAAGAAGATCCTCAAGTATTCTTAGGTGATAAAATTATCTTTTAAAAGCTAAGGCGATTTGCTATTATAATTTTCCCCCCTTATTTAAAAATTTTTTTGGTGGTACTGGCATTTGAACTCCAGGCCTCACGCTTGCAAGGCAGGCGCTCTACCACTTGAGCCATTCCACCAACCCTTTTATTGTGTGTTGGGAATTTCTGAGACAGGTCCTCTGGAACTATCTGCTGGGGGCTGGCTTCAAACCACAATCCTCCTGATGTCTGCCTCCTGAGTATCTAGGATTACAGGCATGAGCCATTGGTGCCCAGCTACTCTCTCCCCTTTAAATAGCACACAATGCCTTTAATTAAACTGAAGAATCATTACAAACTTGTCCTTTTAGGAGAGTAACTTTATAAGACAAGAAGTATTCTTTTAGGCATTTGAAGGACTGAAGAAAGGAGAGGTTAAAAAATTGCTACTTATGTCTTCTGATTACTTTAATCATCCTAGAATAACTTAATAATAAATAGTGGTTTAAATTAAAGACACTACAATCACATATTTCTGAAAAATTCAAAGCAACAGGAAACACATCTTTGAATGCAATTTTGTATATTCTGTACTGAAATACTTCTGGTGATGACTGTCCATAAAAAAGAAGTGGTAATCTTCACATTTATGAAGTTCAAGTTATATATTTAAAAATATCTGTTGCATATTTTGGTTTTAAACTGTGCTTCATTCCCATGCAATATTTGGAAAATTCAGAGGCCATAACTTGTTAATGGAAACCTCAGTATTCTTGAAGTTGTTCAAAAAACAAACTTACTCGTATTTCTGAAAATGAAAAAATTTTTTAAATGATCCAAGAGGCTCTTAATTGGAACGGCCAATTTTATCCCATGACCTGGACTGGATGTCATTTTGTAAGGTGTGGTTTGTCACGTGTGTGTGCTCTTAAGATCACTTTGCTAATTCATGTCACTATTTTAATACTGGAATGTGAATCAAGGAGTCCTTCTGTGTATCTTTGTATTGCTACTGAATAGGGCCAGATTTATATATGGAAAAAGTGTTGTTTTTGTTTTGGCTTAAAAAAGCAAGCAAAAAGGAAACCTTAGGGAAGAAAAGATGTCGTAGTGCTGTGCACATACACATCACTTTAAAATGCATTTTGAAAGTGAAGTGGAGTGGTTAACGCCTCTACCTCTCCGTGTCCTCTGGCTTCCCCCCTCCCAACCAATGCTGTGTTTGCTATGTGAAAATGTGTCATACTGGATCCATTTTCACATGAACTCTGTGCTCGTTCTTCCCAAGATCCATTTCCAGGAAGTCCTCGGGTATGTCTTGTAACGTCTTCCCACGATGGCTCCCCGTCTTTGTGTCACCTGAACGACGATGCTGGCACAGTCCCTTTTTAAACGGTCTCACCAGGGCGAGGCACACGGCAGCCAGGGCCATGCCAGCCGCGCAGGAGTAGAAGGCCCTGCTGTAGATCTTGCTTTGGTCCACCAGCAGACCTGGAGGAGACATCAGCACAGTCATCGCGTCACTGCGACCAGCCCTCTCACCCGGCTCCCACCCGACTCAGAAACGTCTCAGTTTCTTTGCCTTCCTTCTCATATTTCATGTTTCTGAAGAAACACAATGTCAAAGGCAATCGAAAAGCCCTGCTAGACTGGAGAGAAGAGTAAGCCAGACAAACGTACAGCAACTTCAGCACCGAGAAAACCAAGTCGCTAACTTGCTCTTCACAGGCTGAGTCGATCCTAGCACAGGATCTAACATGGGGTAGTTGGCTGCATGTTTCTTTGAAAAGGCAATATTCTTATTTTCATAGCACGCACTTCAGGGATCTTTTAACAGGGGGATAAGATTTCTAATCACAGTAAGACCATATCAGATCAAAAATACAAAACATACTTGTGTCCTTCCAATAAGGAACTATTCTGTATTAAGCATCTGCAGAGTGCTGTTTTGGGCTCAATTTCTGAAAACCTTTCCTAAGAAAGGAAAACAAACCAGGCATGGTGTTACATGCCTGTAATCCCATCTCCTGCAAGGTTGAGGTGAGAGGATCGAGAGCTTGAGGCCCTCCTGGGCTACAAAACAAGTTGCAAGCCAGCTTGGGCAACAAATGAGACCCAGCCTCAAAACAAAAACAAAAAATGACTTACACAACTCCCTTCTCTATCAGTGCAAAAGTTAGATGGAAGTCAGATGAGTTACAAAGGTCATATATCCGTGGGTATCCTTCTGGCATTAGATAAGGTGTAATGACAGAAAATGCCTGGGGCAAGTAGACGTGCAGACACAGGTTCTAATCCTGACTCAGTCACTGAGCTTCTGTCTGGCCATTGTCTTAAATTCTTTGACCCTCAGATTCTTAACATTTAAGTCAAGAGGGCTGGCTCAGGGGATCTCTAATCCCTAGAAGTGCTGAAATTCAACTGAGGTGTAAAAATGTAAAAATTAGACCCAAATAGGAGCCATTATCTCAATTACCTGCCAGGGGTGGCCCTGCCAGCCCTGCTATGCTCTGAATGAAGACGTAGACTCCAGCAGCAGAAGGCATCTTCTCAATTCCCACCACGTCGTCCTCAGCCAGCAACGGGATGTGGGTCCCTCCTATTGTTCCCACCATGAGCCCGAAAAACACACTGCATGACATGAGACCCCAGAATTCCGTAGCAAAAGGAAAGGCAAAGAGAGACACGGTCAGTAAGACGACACAGATGAGCTCGATGTAGAGCTTGCGGATGGGCTCTCTGTTGAGGATGAGACCGGCCCCAATCCTTCCGAACACTTCAGCAATCGCCATGGTAGATAATAAAAACGCAGCGCGATCTGGGTGGATTCCCAGACTGATGCCCAGAGGAATGATGTACAAGGAAGGGGCGAAGAATCCCAGTGTGGCAAAGAGACCAAACAGTGCATACCAAATGAAGCTCTTCTCTTTCAAGACAGAGAAGTCTAACAGTGGGGCGCTCTTCCCGCTGTGCGGGGCACCGTCCACCAGGGTCTGCTGCTGGTCCGCCCTGGGCTCCAGCTCCGTGTTTGTGTGACTAGGCACATTTCTGGGTGAGGTAGTTAGCTCTACTCCTGAGTCGATGGAGTCTATTGAGGTCCGTGTTTTCTCATTTTCAAGCATGTACTGCACTTCTTTGCGCTGCTCGTAAGTCATTGTTTTTGGCGACCCTGGTCCTCTGATAATAATTGGTTTTAGCAGTGCCCCGCAGACGACAATGTTCAACTGCAGGAGGCCCACGGACAGGAGGCTGTCCCTCCAGCCGATGTGCTCCTTCAGGGCTGTGATGGCTTCAGGAAGAAGGACAAAGAAAGAACATCTATGGTTAACAATGGACTTCAGACCCAGGAGACTGGAGCAAGAGGAAATATGGATTCAGCTTTAGTGATAATTTCTGTGAAAATTTACTCAGTGGTGTGGATGTGGATACAGTCCGCCTAGACTATTCTTTAGGTATTGGTGCATTTTATGTATCAATAAGGGGAAAATGCATTGTTATTATGATATATAAAACAAAAACTGACAGCTCAGGTCTCCAAAAAAGCTTTGAAGGGCACATTTTCCCAGGCAGAGGCATAAAAAATGACATAAATTTGTGACCTACAGCAAGGATCAGCAAACAGTGATCCACAGGTCAAATCCCATCCACTGCTAGGCTTTTTGGGGGACTGGGATTTGAACTCATGGCTTCACACTTGCAAAGTAAATGCTTGCAAAGCAGGTGCTCTACTGCTTGAGCCACACCTCCAGCCTTTTGCTCTGGTTATTTTGGAGATGGGGTCTCTTGAACTATTTGCCCATGCCGGCCTCAAACAGATCCTCCTGATCTCAGCCTTCTAAGAAGCTAGGATTACAGATGTGAGCCACTGGTGCCATTGCTTATTTTTGGTAATAAACCTGAACCAGAACCCAGCTTATTCATTTACATAGATGGTGGATGCTTTTATACTGTGACAGCAGAACTGAGTAGCTATGACAGGGACCATATAATCCACAAAGCCTAAAATATTTACTATTTAAGATTGATATAGCAAGGTAGCAGGATATAAAATCAACATAGAAAAATCATTAGCATTTCTATACACTAACAATGAGCAAACGGAAAAAGAATGTATGAAAACAATTCCATTTACAATAGCCTCAAAAAAATCAAATACCTAGGTGTAAACCTAACAAAAGATGTGAAAGACCTCTACAAGGAAAACTATACACTTCTGAAGAAAGAGATTGAGGAAGACTATAGAAAGTGGAGAGATCTCCCATGCTCATGGATTGGTAGAATCAACATAGTAAAATGTCGATACTCCCAAAATTAATCTACATGTTTAATGCATTCCCATCAAAATTCCAATGACATTCATTAAAGAGATTGAAAATCTACATTGAAATTTGATATGGAAACACAAGAGGCCACGAATAGCCAAGGCAATACTCAGTCAAAAACAATGCAGGAGGTATCACAATACCTGACTTCCAAACTATATTACAAAGCAATAACAATAAAACAGCATGGTACTGGCACAAAAACAGACATGAAGACCAGTGGGAATAGAATAGAGGATCCAGATATGAAGCCACCACAACTATAACCAACTTGTCTTTGACAAAGGGCTAAAAATATACGATGGAGAAATAGCAGCCTCTTCAACAAAAACTGCTGGGAAAACTGGTAGCAGTCTGCAAAAAACTGAACTAGATCCATGTATATCACCCTATACCAAGATTAACTCAAAATGGATCAAGATCTTAATATCAGACCCCAAACTCTTAAGTGTGATCAGGAAAGAGTAGGAAATACTCTGGAGTTAGTAGGTATAGGTAAGAACTTTCTCAAAACCCCAGCAGCACAGCAACTAAGAGATAGCATAGATAAATGGGACTCATAAACTAAAAAGCTTCTGTTCATCAAAAGAAATGGTCTCTAAACTGAAGAGAACACCCACAGAGTGGGAGAAAATATTTGCCAACTATACATCAGACAAAGGACTGATAACCAGAATATATAGGGAACTTAAAAACTAAATTCTCCCAAATTAATGAACCAATAAAGAAATGGGCAAGTGAACTAAACAGAACTTTCTCAAAAGAAGAATCAATGGCCAGAAAAATAATGAAAAAACATAAACTCACCCCTGTTAGAATAGCCATCATCAGCAAACCACCACAACAACAGGTGTTGGCGAGGATGCGGGGAAAAAGGAACCCTCTTACACTGTTGGTGGGAATGTAACTAGTACACCACTCTGGAAAAAAATTTGGAGGCTACTTAAAAAGCTAGACATTGATCTACCATTTGATCCAGCAATACCACTCTTGGGATATACCCAAAAGACTGTGACACAGGTTACTCCAGAGGCACCTGCACACCCATGTTTATTGCGGCACTATTCACAATAGCCAAGTTATGGAAACAGCCAAGATGCCCCACCACTGGAATGGATTAAGAAAATGTGGTATCTATACACAATGGAATTTTATGCAGCCATGAAGAAGAACGAAATGTTATCATTCGCTGGTAAATGGATGGAATTGGAGAACATCATTCTGAGTGAGGTTAGCCTGGCCCAAAAGACCAAAAATCGTATGTTCTCCCTCATATGTGGACATTAGATCAAGGGCAAACACAACAAGGGGATTGGACTTTGAGCACATGATAAAAGGAGAGCACACAAGGGAGGGGTGAGGATAGGTAAGACACCTAAAAAATTAGCTAGCATTTGTTGCCTTAACGCAGAGAAACTAAAGCAGATACCTTAAAAGCAACTGAGGCCAATAGGAAAAGGGGACCAGGAACTAGAGAAAAGGTTAGATCAAAAAGAATTAACCTAGAAGGTAACACACACGCACAGGAAATCAATGTGAGTCAACTCCCTGTATAGCTATCCTTATCTCAACCAGCAAAACCCTTGTTCCTTCCTATTATTGCTTATACTCTCTCTACAACAAAATTAGAAATAAGGCAAAATAGTTTCTGCTGGGTATTGAGGGGGGAGAGGGAGGGGGCGGAGTGGTGGTAAGGGAGGGGGTGGGGGCAGGGGGGAAGAAATGACCCAAGCCTTGTATGCACATATGAATAATAAAAAGAAAAGGAAAAAAAAAAAAGAGTGAGGTGATATCATAAATAATATTGTATAATAGCACCAGCAAAAAAGGGAAGAAAAAAAATACTACCTGGAAAAAAAAAATTCCTTTTCAAAAAGGATTTATCAATCTTAGTTGAATCATTATCCATCCATTCATTCAATCCTTAGAAGTGGTGAATTAAACAAAAAACGAATCTAAAAGCTCTTACGATTATCCTAGAATTAGATGACACAGTTCTCCAAGGTTCTCCCTGAGCTGTGACCTTAACTGCTTGAGTTCTCTTCTCTCCTGTTGTTAAGTTGGGACTGAGGCTGAGCCTGCAGGGTAAGGCGGGATGTAGGATGTGGTCAAAGAGACAATGGAGCTGCTCACTACAGTAGGGTAATGCAGGCTCACCAAGATCTTAGCTTAACCAGCTCAGAAAAGGGAAGTGACATTCATTGTAATTTCATTTGATTGTATTTTTTGTTTTTGGCAGTACTGGGATTTGAACTCAGGGTCTCACGCTTGCTAGGCAGGTGCTCTACCACTTGAGCCACTCCACCAGCACTGCTTTGTGTTGGTTATTTTCAAGATAGGGTCCCCTGAACTATTTGCCTAGGCTGGCTTTGAACTGAGATCTTCCTGATCTCTGCATCCTGAGTAGCTAGGTGTGAGCCACTGGTGACTGGCTTTAATTGTATTCTAATTCTTTGAGAGTTCACAAAGGTAACAGACATGGTGACTTGGCTACAGAAGACCGGTTTAGCAGGAGAATCCTGTGTGCCTTGGGAGGCTCCACTCGCCCTGTACGTGTTGTCCCCGCCACTAATGGGGAAAACTTAAAACTTGCCAGTACTCTAGGCTTGATATTTCTAAGTGCTTTGTACCCATCTGGCAATAAAGGGTCCCATCTTCCTTTCCCCATGTAAAATTTCTTGAGTGCCAACCAAGTGCTGGGGACGGTGCCCCGTGCTAGGAAACAAAGCTGAGTAACTGCCTCTACCCTCAGCCAACCTGAACTCCACTGGTTCTTCCTCTCCTCAACATTTTAATTTGAAAAGCTTCAAACCAGAAAAAATGGAGAGAATGACACCACATGCCCATCCTTCACCTAAATTCAACAGTTAACATTTTTTCCCTGCCTCTGTATGTTTGCTTCTCTCTCTCTCTGCTATTGTGACATGTCTCTCCTAAATACCTGTGTCTCCTATGAACAAAATACAACCAAACAAAATTAATCAACAAGAACTGGCATAGAAAGAAATCAATCTGGTTCCCCACGGTTATCTGTCTACTACTTTAGTTTTCTTGTAATTCACATATGAAGTTAGGGAAATAAACCAGGGATCAAATTTTTGGGGAGTGTGTGATAGGGACTGAACCCAGGGTCTTCTACTTGTTATGAAAACACCCTCCACTTGAGCTATGCCCCCAGCTCTTTTGTTTTTATTTACTTATTTTGAGATAAGGTCTTGCTAAGTTTTCCTGGGCTGGGCTAGAATATTTCCTGAATAGTTGGGATTATAGGCATGAACTACTATGCCCAGCTCCAGGGATAAAAATTTTGCTGTGAGATTATCCATAAGAAAACTGGATTTAGTAGCGTAATTTAAATCCACATTGAACACAACTCTTTTGAAAAGGGAGAGAAATAATACCATGAACACTCCAAATCATTTTGGAATAATTTTTGCACGTTTCATGAAAGCCTTACCACCGATATGTGCCATGTCTCTTCCTATTTATGTAAACTTGGACTAAGATTAAAATAGTTTGTATTCTCCTAAAATAGGGGTTAAAGGGGATACATCCTAAAAAAACCTGCTGGAGGAGAAAGGGCAAATAGCCTTTCATTTTGCATGACGGTAAAAGGCATCAAACTGATGGCCAGAGTTAGTGTAGCAGGAACAGCAGACTGGCTTCCCCCTGGACTCCATTCATAGAAAAATTACTGTTATCCACCTACCTGGTGCGAAAGCAAACACAGCGAAACATTCTCCTGTAGAAGCAACAGCAGTGACGACTGAGCGTCTTTTGTCAAAGTACTGTGACAGAATGGTGACAGTTGGGAGAAAACTAAAGCAGTACCCCAAACCTGTGAGCAAAAGTCAAAAGTACAGTGAGGACACATACTAACTGAGCCCAGAAGAATGTGCTCTGAGAATGACGAATCATGCAATTCAGTGTGCAAAAACGTGACGCAGAGCCACGGAAGCGGGTTGGTTTCATTAGGGGTCGGGTTACATTGCAACAGCTATTTTGAGCGGGGATGCTCAAAGTATAAAAACTTTTCTGGTTCTTAAAAAAATTTATAAAATTCCCAATGGAGCCGAGTGCTGGTGGCTCATGCCTGTAATCCTAGCTACTCAGGAGGCAGAGATCAGGAGGATTGCGGTTCGAAGCCAGCCCAGGCAATAGTCCGTGAGACCCTATCCCAAAACCACCCCCTCAAAAAAAGAAAAACTTCGCAATGGACAAAGCTATTATTGCATATAGTTTTTATATAAGACGTTTGGAAATAATTCTTTGCTATGTGTAAAACTATGAAAAATTGACAGTATGCAAATTTAATAAACATATATATCATACAGGATTAATGCAGGGATTCCTTTAAAAAATTTTTTTTTGTAATTTTTCGAGATAGGGTTCCCATTTGGAGTCCAAGCTGGCCTCCAATTTGACATCCTCCTGCTTCACTGGGATTATAGGCATGCACCATCACAACTGGCTGCATGGATTCTTTTTAAAAGGAGAAATGTTTCCTTTGATCCTAAGAAGTGCCCAGCATACTGCACCTCCCTTGCAGCCCTGACTTGAGAAATTACTGGCAAAAGAAACTAAAGTCCTATTTCATGAAAATGATGCCTTTTGGCTGCGAACTAGAAAAAATGAGAAGCTCTCTTCATCACTGGTAAACGTTTTAAAAACAAATCAAACAAAAATTCCTGGGCACTTGAGAATATGTTTCCATATCCCATGGAGCCCATGTCGCCCTATTCAAAACCACTGACGTCAGATATTATTCATTTTAAAGAAAAAAAAGGAGAAAAGATTTATTTTCCTCCCTCCCCTTCCTTGTTCTTCAAACAAAGCATCTAGAGAACTCCCGAGTCAGGGAGGTCACTCACCCGAGACAATCCCAATGGAGATGTACATGTGGTGGACCTGTCGTGAGAAGGAGGCTGCCACCATCCCGGTGCAGACCAGTACTCCTCCTGCCATGACTACCAGCCGGTGTCCAAAGCGATTGCTCAGGACTGTGGAGAGGGGAGCTGCAGGGAAAGGAACAAAGAGTGATCTGTGAGCTCAGAGGCTGTGGTTGGTGCTGGCTTCAGTAGGAGTCCCTCCCCCAGGTCTTAAACTTGGATGGACGCTGTAAAATACATAATGCATTCCTTGCAGTGGCTTCTGGCCAGTTCTAAAATCATGTAAGATTCTTTGGGCTCTTCAAAGAGAAAGACAAAGTCTAGGGGTGTAGCTCAGAAGTAGGGTGCTTGCCCTAGCATGCTCAAGGCCCTGGGTTGATTCCCATACTGTCTCCCCCACTCCCCCAGAAGGAGAGGAGAGAGAGAGAGAGAGAGAGAGAGAGAGAGACACACACACAGACATAGTAATAGTATAAAAGTATACTTTTATCTACATTTTAATTTATTTATTTAGTGGTACTGGGGTTTGAACCTTTTATTTTGTGTTGGGTTTTTCGACAGGGTCTTGCAAACTATTTGCCTGGGTTGTCTTTAAACTGCTATCCTCCTGATCTCTGCCTCCTGAGTGGCTAGGATTACAGGAGTGAACCACTGGCACCTGACTCTGTCTATATTTTTAGATCAAAGATGTTAGCAACTACAAAATTGGATATTCATTTGTCATTCTGTAACAAAAACTGGTTTTCTTATGATTGCTTAAATAATTGTTTTTCTATACTCACTGCTTCAGATTGTTTTTCAAAGAGTCCATTTGGGATTAAATTCCAGTTAGTTTCATTTAACTTTTCTGAAAATGATACAGGATGAAAGTATGGTGAATTTGCAGCTATGTTTGCCTAAGGAAGGGTAGCTGTGGGATAGATAATTCAGGGTGACTGATGAATTGTAATTTGTCTGGCTTGTATATGCTTTACCCCTGGGACATTTCAATCCAGCAAATTAGTTTCCTAGTTATATGTTACTGAATATTGACTTGAGTAAGCTGAGAAACGCAAACTGTTGAGAGTTGGGTCAAAGAGCAACACCCTGGATAGAAGGGGTGGGAAAAAAAGGATTGCATTTCATTGTGGTGTGTCCATACGTAGTGATAGCATTCATTATTAGAATGCAAACTAATATTGAATGTAGCTACTGATGAAACCAGTCATCATTTTGAGCCAGTCTGTTGGCTCAAAGCCTTCACAATTAGAATAATATTGTCTAAAATTACCTTATGGTATGACAGTATTAGCTAGAAATTTCTTGTTGACTACGTTGTTCTCTCTGCCTATAAAAGAGCTTGAACTTAAGCTTTCAGATTTTCTTCTTCTTTAGATTATCAAATAGAAATTTTTGGTTCCATATCTTCCCAAATAACTAAGTATTCCACAATTTAAAAATTAAGTATCTTGCCGGGCATGGAGGTACATGCTTGTAATTCCAACACCCAGGAGGCTGAGGCAGGCTACCCTGTCTCAAAAATAAAACAATTAAAAAGAAAACACTCAAAAAAAAAAAACAATCTTAGCTGGGCATGGTGGTGCAGCCAGTAAGCCCCTCGTAAGACTCTTGCTCGAAAATAAAACAAAAATTAAACATTAAATATTTTAATAATTCAATTAAGACAGTACGAGAACCAGTAAGAGAAATTCCTGCTTTACCCACTGGGTCAAAACAGATGGATGGTAATATGGCAAAAAGTGAACTACAATTAAAGAAGGATCTGAAACTCAACAATCATTTCAGAGACAACAGCAGCATGACAGGGTATCAAGTTAATGTTAGGGACATTTAAGGGCAGCCTGGTTTGCTTTCTGAGGTGAGTTCAACAGCTTTGCTCTCTCAGGAAGGCCTTGGTGTCACCTGTTACACACAGATGAACACATGAGACCTAGCTGTGTGTTTAAATGAGGCCGGTACAGTACCATGTGAGAACAAGTGTGTTACAAATGACACCACAACACCCTTCTATTTTATGCTGTGAGATCTGGGGATGTGGCAGTGAGGAGTAAGTGAAGTCCTTCAGGAAACCAGATGTTTGGAATTCAGACTCTTTAGGACAGTATTTGTAATTTGATATTATAGTTAGGGGATGGGCTCCAGGACCCCCTGGGGATACCAAGATTCACAGATGCTCAAGCTCCTTGTAGACATGACTTGGTATCTGCACATAACATAGGCACATCCTCCTCACACTTTTTATCTCTAGGTTGCTTATAATACAATATAAGTAGTTTTACTGGACTTCTTAGGGAACAATAAGAACAAGAAGTCTAGATGTATAGTACAGCACAACCACTATAGGACTAATGACCTAGCACCTGTTGGCAGCAAGGTAAGATTTTCAGTCTGTGGTTAGCTGACTCCATTGATGACTGAACCCTTGGATACAGAAGGCTGAGGGCATATCCTTTTATACCTTGCAGGCTTCTTCCTGCGTCCATATATACATGTTGCTTAGCAGGCCAAGTTTGTTTCAATGTTGTTTCTTTAGACAATCATGTGTGTTAAACTGAAGGCAGACCAAGCTGTCGAATATGGATTTTTTTTTTTTTTTTTGCTGTAGTCATTTTTCAGATAGGGTCTTAAACACTTTTTGCCTAGGTCTGGCCTCCTACTGGGATCCTCCTAACTTTGCCTTCCATATAGTTGGGATTGTACGCATGAACCACACACTCTGCTTATTCTTGTTTGAAATAAGAGTTTTCCTAACTTTTTACCTAGGCTGGTCTCTAACCACAAGCCTTTCACCTATCTCTGACTCCCAAGTAGTTGGGACTGAGCCAGTATACCCAGTCTTTTTGTTTTTTGTGACAGGATCTCACTGCGTAGCCCAGACCGGTCTTGAACTACGTAGCCCAGACTGGCCTCTAACTTGCAATACTCCTGGCCTCTCAAGTGCTAGAATTACAGGTATGTATGGCCACACCTGGTTTAAACATGGCATTTTCTTCAGTGCCTCTTTGTTTCTTACCAATCCCCAACCCTCTGAACACTGTGTTACTTAATCAAGGCTAGAATGGGTCAACATGGGAATGCATCATCAACACATCCACCCACATCACGTAACTGGACAGGTTCACAGGGGCAGACGCTCATGTTACGTTGAGCTGAGAGATGTACTAACCTGTAAACGTTAAGACAAACACACATATTGACACTATCCATGAGATTCTGCTGTTGGATTCATCAAAACTGTCCATTAAGTCATTAAAGAAGACGCCAAATGACTTGATGATGCCATAGGTGAAGACTTCAACGAAGAAAAAAGAAACAGCTACTGCCCAGCCCCATCCTCCGTCAGGCACTTGAGTATACACATTGACTCTGGAACAAGGGTTTGATTTCTTTTGGGTCATTCTTAATCTGAAATAAAATGGTTAAAAAAAATTCAGAACAGCTAATAGCATGGGGGCTAGGGATTCTAATAATCATTAGCAAACACAGAAACTACTTAGGTTGTTGAATATTTAAATCAGGTATAAGTTTTTGGATGTTATATGTTATATCTATCTGTCTCTCTGTCCTTGAATTACACATGGGAACCACAAGGAATCTGGAAGACTTTTCTATGAAAGCTGATGAGAACAATAAGCAACACAAGGAATCAGAGCAGGATCTTTGGAGGTTCTTTGAAGGACACAGAATGGCTACCAGACCAAGTACTGATGCTGATGTTGAAGGAGACAAGTCAGACAAAGAAAAACTTAGTGGACCATAAGAAATGTTGACCAGGAAGGAGCCTAGAACGGGGTAGCTGTCTCGCACCTTCCATGGGACAAGTGCTTAAGTACCATAGATATCTCTGCTTGAGACATCTCAGTTGGCTGGCCACTGAGTTGATCCAGCCAACCCTTCTGGCTCCCACTTTTCATTTAGTAAGCAACATTCTGATTCTGTTATGCTGTTTCACAGATGTACACCTACCTGGACAGAGTGTAACTATAAATCAAAATGTGGGACTCCTGTCTTCTGAGTTCCTCAAAGTTGACCATGTGGTGCCTCAGCAATTTAATTTCTCCAGGCAACAGTGACTAAATGAGACACTACAAACCTGCAAGGCCCTGCCTGGACACTAGTTAACTAAGCTACCCCCACCTCACACTGCCTTTCCATGTGAGCATCAGACAAACCAAGCTCAGCCCTCACACCAGGAGGAGACACTGTCTTTAACACTGGAGGAGCCTGGGTTAACTTAAGTCTTCTTGAATGGGCTCTAGTACGTGAAAACGTCAAAGCTTCTGCAGTTACAGATACTTTCAACAGTGATATGTACTTCTAGCCCAACTAAAAGTTAGTACCTATCATAATTAACGAGTCCAGGTTCTTAGAGCTCTTAATGGCAACTGACCGCAAGTTTAAGAATTCTTTACTGTTGTACGGAGCTTAATTTTCAGGATGCACGTGTATCCTTCTTCTAGCTATAAGTTGTCACATACAAGGTTTCTTTCTTTCTTCGTTTTTTTTTTTTTTTAAACAGCATCATGCTATATAACACAGGCTGGCCTTAAACTTGCAGTCCTCCTGCTTCAACCTCTCTAGTGCTAAGATTACAGATGTGTACCACCATGCCTGGCCAGGCAAAGATTTTATTGAATGGAGGACAAGTGAGAAAATGACATGCTATAAGCTCATGAATGCAACAGACTTGTGTTTTCCAATCATGAGATCAAATCTGCTGGATTTACTTGATAAATCTTCAACAGCAATAAATCTGACCTAGCTTAATATCATCCTTCCTATTGCTAACCTCCATTCCCACAGCAGCCCCACACTTGGGAGCACCACTCAGTACCGTGGTGCTGTTAAGTACTTGACTGAGCTGTGAGGGCATAAGATGCCTGAAGCATCCTATGCTCTGTGCAGCAAAGGTCTTTGTCATGCCTAGAGCCAGTGGTAAGGTCGTGAGGGCCATGAGGTAGCTGAGCATGCTGGCAGGGTAGACATTAGTGTTCCCTGACAGGGAAAGACCTCACCTAGGGCAGGAGACAGACCCTCCAGCAGATGAGATCCTCGTAACACCCCTCCCTCACCAGCCTTCCCAAAGTCACTCTCAAGGTGAGGCAGCTGGGACAGAAGAGGAGTGAATGCAGCATTAGGCTTAGGATTTTAGGAGCTTCCCCCCGACCCCTACAAAGCCGTTCCCAGCACTGGCTTTAGAGAAGGGGCTATTCCTGAGCCTGGGGGTGGGTGGGAGTTGCTTGATGAGAAGGAGACGTGGTGGTGGCCTGTAGCTGTCAAGGGCTTGGCCTTCACCCCGTCCATGAGGGCATCAGTTTGAGCTTTTCCTTGAGAAGCCCATGGCTGCCTCTTAACTGGCTCCACGTGCCTGGTCTGACGAATCTTTTGGAAATACTGCATTGTCACAGCATTTCCCTGCTTAGGCTTTTTTCCACTGGCTTTCCTCTTTCTGAAGGAGAAAAACCCACTCATTAGCCGTCCTGTGGTAGCCTTATCTCTCCTTGACTCATCTGCCATGGTCAAAACTGTGTTCCTTTCCCCACGGCCTTCTGTTTTAAGTAAGTTGCCTGTGGCCATGCTTTTTCCTCAAGCTGGATGTCCTCTCTGCAGGGGGCACAGTACAACCTTCCAGGCTCTGCTCAGGCCAGGCCTCCTTCCCCCATAAGCCTTCCTCTGACCCACTCAACCTTCCCTTCTTCAAGGGACCTGAACCACCTCATCACAGGGTACCATTTACTTTCAGACACTTATCGTATTTGTCCATTAGAAACTCACAAAATCCAGGGCCTAGATTTCTGTTACCTTACCCCCTCACCCACCCAGACAGCTTTTATTTTTTCATCAAAGTAGTCAACTAGGTACCAGGCCCTCTGATTTCACTACAAGGTTACCACAGTGAAAAGATGGAGATGGTTTCCCCCTCCATGGACTAAAATATTTGTTGATGATGATAAAAAACAAAACCTCAAGACTGAAATGTATCCTATTTAAAGCTATTCAGCCACGTCCTTCTGCAGCTCAGCACATCCTGACAAATGGTTAGGACTACATGGCTACTAAGTCCAAGGCCACGTTGGCATGACTGAGTGGCTTTATGGGTGCCCACAAGGTCTTGGAGGGCTTTCTTGTTTTGTTTTGGAGACAGGGGGGTCACACTGGCCTGGGAATTACTATGTAGCCTAAGATGACCTCAAACTTGCCATCTTCCTGCATGCTGGGATTAAAGGTGTGCACAACTCATTGGGATGGGTTTTTTTTTTTTTTTTTTTTTTTACTTTTCATGGTACTAGGGTTTGAACTCAGGGCCTACACCTTGAGTCACTCCACAAGCCACCCCCCCCTTGCGACATTTTTTTCGAGATAGGTTCTCACAAACTATTTTCCCAGGCTGACCTCGAACCACAATCCTGATCTCTGCCTCCTGAGTAGCTAGGAGTACAGGCGTGAGCCACTGATACCCAGCCAGCTGGGGCTAGGTCTTCACGGAGGGCTTGTATCAACTTAAACAAAAATATTGGGAGAAAACCTGATAAAGGTCCTATAGAGCTGCGCGTGGTGGCATATACCCATAATCCCAGTACTCAGGAGGCTGAGACAGGAAGTCTGTGAGTTCAAGACCAGCCTGGACTACGTGATGAGATCCTGTCTCAAAAACTTAAATTAAAAAAGTCCTAGACAGAAAGAAGCTGAATCTGTTCAGTTTAAAATCACTGCAGGATAAAGTCTTTTTATTGGATGGCTTTGGATGGGGGGGACCCCACTGTGGTTTTAGCATGAGCTGAAGTCCCCACCATCATCAGAAGGCTCCCAGTTCTGCTGGGAGCTGCTCCCTTACTCTTCCTTGGCCCCATAATCCATAGTCTGCACGGGTGGGGCTAGGATCAACCTGCAGGCAGGGAATGGAATTAGAATTCCAGAATGTTCAAGCCGAAAGGGAGTTCTGAGCTCATCTTGTGCTATTTCTCTTTGTGAAATTCTACTCATTCTGCAAAATAGGAAAACTCAGCCCCAGAGAGGTGAAGGGTCTTGACCAAAATGGTTTAGAGTCAAATCTGCCCCCAGTCACTCTGCCGTCTACACCTGCAGGGCAGCATGTTAAAGACCAGGGGCGGAGGGAATGGAGACTGTGAAGAAGCACTTTTAGTTAAAGACACAAGCTCTCTGGACCTCCACGTGTAAAGAGGCCTGTGAACTGTTTGCCCACACAACTATGTGACTCGAGAAAGTTACTTTCCCTCTCTGGGCCTGAATTCCTATTCAGTCAAATGAGAGGGGCCCACTGGGAATTGTTAAGGCTCCATTCAGCTTTAACAGCTGATGCGTTTGAATTTAGCATTGTGTTATATTAACCAACGGATTGCTCAGGTCAAACCCAGTTGAGTGACCCAAGGAAACTGAGGTAGGAGGAGCAGGAATGCTATATGGTTCTTGCAAGTGTGGGATGTTTGTTCAATCTGATATATGACAACCTCTTAGAAGAGAGGGATCTTTAGACTTTTCATTTTCTGAGCCCTTTCTGGGTGATCCAATCCTCTGCTTGCTTTTCAAAACATTGCCTTCTGTCTGTGCTACTCTATTGTGGTAGATCCAAATATAAATTTCAAGTGTATTACTGGGTTTTTGGAAGACAGAAGCTTGCTTTCTTATTACTGGGATCATCATAAAGGTAAATGCCAAGCCCAAACTTACTCTAAAGTTTATGCCTTTATCATCCTAAAGCATTCTATGTCCTATTATTATCTAGTTTTGAAGATCAGACAATATAGCTTAATAGCAGAATAACCCGGTTTCTATAACTTTCTGGGCAGTGATACCTGCATTTTGCATGCAAGACTGCACCTATGAGGCTATCGACTGCTCTGTCCAGATCCAGGGTCCGGTGTAGTATTAGGTACATATGTGTTCATTAAAAGTTCATTAAAGGAGCCAGGTGTGGTAATTCATGCCTGTAATCCTGGCATTCGGGAGGCTGAGGCAGGAGGTTGGTGAGTTTGAAATAAGTCTAGGCTACAGAGAGATACTTTCTCTAAAAAAAAAGTTTACTAAACAAAATATGAGTGTTGGGGTATTTCCAAAGCAATGTACAGATTATTCCCTATAAAATAAAAGCAATAAAAGGAGGAAGTGCCTGGTTGCACCAATCAACCCTTTCCTAGACTATCTTTTTCATTCACTAAGCAGGAAGGCAATTGACTTTACAAGCTGTCTGACTGCAAGCCAGGTATGGTGGTGTGTGCCTGTAATCCCAGCATTTGGGAGGAGGATGGAGAGTTCGAGGCCAGACTAGGCTACAATGAGACCCTGTCTCAAAAAAATCCCAACTGCCTGACTGTAAAGAAGACAACTTGAGGCCTGACTTTTGAACTTGGTTAATTGGATGCCTCTACAAGTTGCAGAATATGAAAATTACCAGTTCATTTGCTTTCACAGCTGTACTTGATGGAAAGGGATATTAGTTGGCTGTGTGGAGACCTAACTGGTAAGGTCCTGGGGTCTTGTATGAATCACCTCACTTCTTGATGTTCAGTGTCCCTAACAGGTAAGCTGAGATCCTGATCCTGAATCTCTTCCTGCCCTATGAAAAGGCAATTCTGTGACAGCCTTTTACCCTGACCTACTCTGAATTACCATGGGCTTGTCTTTTATTTTTTTGCAGTGCTGGGGAGGGTCTGAACTTAGGGCCTACACCTTGAGCCCCTCTACCAGCCCTTTTTTGTGATGGGTTTTTTCAAGATAGGGTCTCTCAAACTATTTGCCTGGGCTGGCTTCGAACTTTGATCCTCTTGATCTCTGCCTCCTGAGTAGATAGGATTACAGGTGTGAGCCACTGGTGCCTGGCTGGGCTTGTGTTCTTGAAGCCTCAGGCAGTAGTTATCAAATCTGTGTTTACCACTAATTGGCAGAAATCACTAAATGCCTAAAGCTCATCTGTAAAAGCAGGAATTGAGAAGACAGACTCCCAGGTATTTTCCAACTGTAAATTTCTGCAACCCTAAAACTGCTCCTGGCACCAATGTCCTGCTGAAGGAAATGTAAGGACAAACTAAGCTGGGCATTTTGGAGTATTTCCTAGTACCCTTCGGTAGTTTCAGTGTCTCCTTAAATAAAAAAGCTGAGCACCAGTGACTCACGCCTGTAATCCTAACTACATGGGAGGCTGAGATCAGCAGGATCTCAGTTGAAGACCAACCTCTGCAAACTGTTCAAAAGACCCCATCTCCAAAATAACCAGAGCAAAATGACCAGAGCAAAACAACCAGAGCAAATGGCTCAAGGGGGAGTGGCCTGCCTTGCATGGACGAAGCCCTGAGTTCAAACCCCAATTTCCCCACTCTCACCCCCCCAAAAAGAAAAAAGAAGTGTGGTAGCCCACACCTGTGATCCCGTCAATGTGGGAGGCCAAGACAGGAGGATTGAAAATTACAGGCCAGCCTGGGCTACATAGTAAGACCTTGTCTCAAAAAAAAAAAAAAAAAAAAAAGTGTCCCCTTAAATAAATGGGTATGATACCAGACTTAAAGATCTGCTCTACATGGGATTTTCACTATTATTTAATTTCTGGAGAAACAATTTGACTTGGGGGCATAAAAATATTGCTTGTACACCAACTGAGGTTAGACCAGAGTCAGGCCAGAGTGAAGTTCAAAACGCAGGCTTCCATGGAAATGGTAGAGCAGCCAGTGCACTGCAAGTCTCTGCTCTTCAAGGCGTAACCCGGAGAACAGCTTTTGACAAGTTGTCTCTGGCCCCTGTCGTCCAAACCAGTCTGTACGTGGGTGAAGTTCATTTGAATTTCTATTACCAAAAAAACAAAACAAAAAAAACCCCAAATCTAACCTGGACGCTGGCTCGGCAGCGTTGAATCACTGACTACCACCAATTCATCCATTTTGCAAGACTATGATGTTGAAACCCGAGCCCCTAATTTAAGTGTCCTCCTAAGGAGTTCCTCTGAGGAAAAGTCCTGTTTTAGGAAACCACAGGGAGAAAACTCTGGGTTAGTAGTACGCTTTAAGAGTTTTTCCACTTGGCTGCATGGTTTGTTTACATACGGTCAGTCTATCTTGGACGCCCTTCGCTTAATTACATGAAAAGGTGTTTCTACTATATTTACCGGTATCATTTGGTGTTCATCCCCAAAGTGCCTCACACTAGTGCTTGGGACATGGGGAGATGCATCGAAAGAGATTCCAGCATAAGGGTTTGGCAACAAGACACCCCTCTTACCGTGATTTACAAAAAACAGTAAGATCACAGAGAAATCTTAATCCCACGGTGGAAGCTGGCACGGAGAAGCTGGCTGTGCAAACAACCGGCTTCCAGGTTGACAAGTTGTAACTGCTCTTCCCCAGTTGGATTTCGGGAGCTTTTTCCAAGACTGACGCCCCCCGAGTTCGGTGACATTTTACCTAACAAACTTTGATCACCTGTCTGCTGGGGTGGAGGCAATGAAAACAACCCAGAAGGAAATAACCCATTTCCTCTGCAAACCATCGTCCTTAGCTCTAGAGCTGCTCGGCTACCCCAGCGCTTTCCTGAGGCTGGCAGCCCCGGGAACCTTGGAAGTTGCGCGGGACCCGCCACCCGCCCCTGTCAGTTCTGACAGTCTAGGTGTAGGACCCGCGTTCCACAGGGAAACCTCTGCCTTCCCCCCCAGGGGCGGGGGGAACGTTGGCCATCCCGGGGGATGGTATATCGGGGATGGGGATACGGAGCCCCACTTTCCCTCGCGCTGCCTCAGTGGCCGCCTTGCGTGCGTGCGTGCGCGCGCGAGCCTGGGGAAGACAGGAACCTTTTGACATCCACCGAGGGGCTGAGCCCCCCGCCCCCGACTCACCCAACAGCCTGGGGTCCCTCACCCGGGGCGGGGGTTAATCAAAGCCAGGCCAGCCTTTAGGTATTTCCCGGACCCCAACTGTACCAGGGCCAAAGACATTCAACTCTCAGTTGCCCACAGAGCCGAGAGCGCGTCATCGTGATGGCCCTGAACATTCCCAACTGCCAAGAGAGTATCTTTCGGAATAACCTCTCCAAAATGTTCAAATGTTCAGAGGTTTCCTCCGCCTCCCCGCCCTAAGAAAGCACCCCCCGACATATTTCTTATAAAACAACCCATAACCCACAATCAAACTTTTAAACATGTAAAATAATAAGACCAACTCACCAAGTTAGAAGGGAAGAGAATAAACCCCAAAAGGCTCCCAATAAGGCGGAGGCTTGACCTCCCCCTCCTTATAAGCCGCTGGATAACACGAGAAAGGTTAACCCCTTAGGGCGTGGGCCTGAGTCCATAAGTTGGCTCCGGCCGGTGAATGTCTGAGCACCCGGGCCCCCCACCCACTCCCGCGCCACTGCCACCAGGGCCACACCCTCCCCCCGCCCCCCACCCCAGTCGCCTCCGCCCGCGCCGCTGCCTATCTCTTATCCTATACCGGCTGCAGCCGGTCTCCGCCGGCCTCGGGGGCGCGCCGCCGACCATGTGCTGAGAGCGCCTCCAAGGAGGGGGCCGGCCTGACGCGCGCGCGCGCCGGCCCACGTGGGCCGAGGCCTTGCCGGGCGCGCGCCTCGCCTGCCGCCCCGGCTGGGGGTCACCAAAGGTAACAGCCTTGCGATTTGGGGTCGGTCGCCCCCGCCCCCGCCAGCGCCGCTGGGGTCGTAGGCAGGACGTCCTCATTCCCTCGCCCGGGTGCGCCTGTGCGCGCCTGGCCCGGCCAGATCCCGGCACTTTGCTGCAATGCAAGTGGAGCGCGAGAGTGCCAGGGTGCTGGGTGCGCCGGCACCCTCGCTCTGAGTGCTCCCGGCGGGCCCCGGACTGCTTCCCTTCCCGCAGCGGCCCCGCCCGCGCCCTGAGGATTTGGGGAGTTAGCGAGGGAGGGGTGCGGTGGGGGGGAGGGACGCGCGCGCCGGGGTCGGTCCCGCGGGCGCTCGTGGCTGCGGCGGCTCCGCGCTCGCCCCGGACAGAACAGGTTCCTTCCAGTTTGGGTGTGAGCAGCGCGCGCAGCGCCCGAGTTCCTCCTTCAGCGCCCACTTCCCCGATTTCGTCAACTCGCGCACCCCCACGGTTCCCTTTCCGGGGGTGGGGAGGGAGTGCCGCAGTGGGCCCCTGGGAACCAGCGGCCCCGCTGCTTTCGGGTGCATTGCTTTCCCCCCTTTGCTGCTGCTGCAGCAGCCACAGCATCCGCGTTGCGCGAAAGGGATGTGAGCAGCCTGGCTGAGTCAGCATCCCCGACCCGGGGCGCGCGCGCACCCTCTGGGCGGGAGGTGACGTCCGCACAGGTGCATGGCCGCCTCACCCGCGGGAGTCCTCCGTTGTGGCCCGGGAGGTTTAGGGAGTAGGTGCCCCTCACCTCCAGATTCCCGACCCCAAGGTCACTATGAACTAAGGTTGATGCACGGGAAACCTCAGTTAGGAGTTGCTGGTGGGGACAAAGCTTGTGTCGGAGGATATAGCGCATTTCAGAGCCCGAGGGGGCGCACACTTGGCTTCCTGGCATCCACTCCAGGGCAAATTTGGGAACTGCTCCGGAGCAAAGGTCATATTTTCAGCATTTCCCTTTGGACTTTGGCACCCCTTGCTTGGGCTTCAGGGAACGTGGCTCTGATGTCAGAAACTCAAGAGGACCTACGTTAGCAGTGTGCACCGGGAGGGTCGCCACTGGGAGGAGCTTGCGACCTGAATTTTAATAAAAATCCTCCCTTGCCCCATGATTTCGCTCGTGATTTTGGGATCCGGTGTGCTGGGTTAGACGCCATTCTTTGCTGTTAAGCTCCGGTGTAGGTTAAGCGGAGAGTCATTCCGTTAGTGCAAAGTGTCCTGTTATGGCTAGACTGTCTAGCCAAGGGTGCCCATGAGCAGCTTTGCAAGCTTATAATAGGAGTGCTTTAACTTTGCAGAGCGTTAATTTCCAAATCTGTGGAATGGAATAAGGGTGAGATTCCCAAATTCAAAGGGTTTAATTTATGATTTCCTGTAAAGGGCGGACCTGTGACTAGCATATGGTAAGTCACCACCTGTTAGTCCTTATTGTTGTTATTTAGAATTATGAAAGCCAGTTGCAGACTCCAGCACATGCCCTATGAGAAATCATTTTTGTGTGCCTCAAAGAATCCACATGTGATAGCATTTAGAAACATTTTAATCACTCAAATGAAAACACTTAATGTTAAAGCTGGGTGTCCTGTAGACATAATCTTTATCTTTAGGGTCTTAAGCTTCAGTATTTCGGACTTGTCTCACCCTGCAATCAGTAAGGAAGTGCCATGTTTTGTTTTTTTTCTAATTAATTAATTTTTTGGGGGGGAGGGTGGGGATAGGTCTCCCTTTGTTGCCCATGCTGGCCTGTTTTTTGTTTGTGTTTGTTTGAGACAAGATCTCACTATGTAGCCTAGGCTGACCTCGGATTCTCGATCCTTTTGCCTTAGCCTGTGGTTGCTGGGATCACAGGCTTGGTCCACCATGTCCACCTGCCCATCCTGATCTGTACCTCCTGGACTCAAGCCATTCTCCAGCCTCGGTATCCACAGAAGCTGTAACTACAGGCACTCTGAACCCTCTGCCTGGCTGCGAATGTCATGTTTAATATGACACATCATGCACTGTATTGTCTTGCTTAGGAGCCTAGGGGTGTTCAACTGAGTGACACTAAGCAAGTCACATAGTATCTTGGTACTTCAGCTTGATTTAAAAAATTGTGATTGGAAAAATCACGTGAATTTTAGACCAAGTGAAATCTGATGGTTGAGGGAGGGGGCTAATAGCATTAATACAATAATAATAATAATAATAGTAATGTATTGTTGCTCTTACCTTTTATTAGTATTAATTATAATTTTTGTGTATGCTTTGTCCCCAACAGTGTAGTAAGTGCCATCCATGTGATTTTCAACCATATCAGTAGTCTTCTGCAAATAATACTTGTTTTGCCCATTTTAGGTATGAGGAAAATTGAGGCATGGCACTGGAGAGATTGGCCCAAGGTTGCACCACATTTTGTAGCCTCCCACTGGCCTTGTTCGCAACTAGCAAACTAGCGAAGTTGACTTTGGCTATTTGCGTTTAGATAATGGAGAGGTG